TCAAATGTTTTTGATAACAGCAATGATGTCTGTTACTTAATTTATTAAAAATATGACACACAGAGACATACAAGTATATACATTGAAAGTTAACCATTTGTGTATGTTTTCTATAAGAAAAACAGCAGAAAATCTGGGTGAGACAACAACTAAATATGGGGTGTGTGTTCTGCCTAGCATGTGGGGAAATATATTCTGTTCCTGGCTTGTGCATATTTCACTGAAAGGTAGTAGTGAAGAGTCTATTCCAGATGATGAAGTGTAGGTTTCAGTTTAAAATGAGAGCATTTAAAGTAGGTGGTCTGAAGGCTTATCAGTGTGAATTCTTCAGAGACAGATGAATGCAGTATGCTTGAAGAACAGAAAAAATGAGGCTATAATGAATAATGCATGGGAAGTTATTACGACTCTTAAAATACAATACACCTACAAGATTTTCTCTTTAGTTACAATTGGTTGATGTCTTTAGATTATTTATTTATTTAAAATATTTTTACCCCACCTTTCTCCTTAAAAGGAAACCAAGTTGAACTCTTTATTAAAAAGACAATACTGTATTTAAAAGTGAAAAACACTAAGGAACAAATATATTAAAAACAGTAAATGAAGTCAATACTAAAAACACATTTAAAAACAACAAGGCACAACAACACATTAAAACAAAATCCCCTCTCAGACAGCCAGTCAATGGGAAGCCTGCCTGAAGATGGCTAGGATAAACTAATGTATGCTCTGTAATTTGACAATAATTTGTAAATATAAGTGGCACAGTTCCAGATGACTGAGGTGGTCTTTTGTGCCTCTTTTCTTTAAAGAGAGGAAGTCTACACTAATTTGAAGATTACAGTGAAAAATCATTGGAAAAAAAATCAGTGAAAAAGCTCAAGGAAATAAAATCCTGTCAGTTGCATAAGTATTTTGTGTGACATGTGCAAAGCCATTCTAATCCTAGTAGAATTTAGCAATATTTTAGATCGCATATTAATATATATTAGATTTATCTAATTAAATTTGTGCTCAAAGGCATGCATTCTTTTATTGCATCCACTTATAATTCCACAAAGCACTGGAAGCCGTCCGGACCCCCCCACCCTGCTGCTGCCACCGCCGCTTGAAGCCACCCCACGCTCGGCTATCCCAGCCATGGTCGGACTCCTGGGAGTCCAACCATGGCTGGGATAGCTGGGCGCGGGGCAGCTCCAGGCATCCGGATCCCTCCCACCCTGCCGCCGCCACCGCTTGGATCCGCCCTGTGCTCAGCTATCCCAGCCATGGCCGGCTTGATCCTCCTGGGGCAGCGGAGGGGGAAGGGAACGAGCCCTGGCGTGGCCAGGTGCCTGGCTTCCCGACTCCCCCTTCACCTCCTCCTCTTCCTCCAAAGGCCGGCTGCCGGCCGGCTTGATCCTCCCGGGGTAGGGAGGGGGGAAGGGAATGAGCCCTGGTGCGGCCGGCCGCCTGGCTCCCCGTCTCCCGCTTCACCTCCTCCTCTTCCTCTGGAGGCTCCTTCCGAAGCGCCCGCCAGCCAGCTGGGGGAAGCCAGCTGATTGGTGGGTCCAAAATGGCCGCCCACTGTTTTCTGGATGGATTCCTCGCTTACCAAGGTGGCGAAAATGGCTGCCCCTATGGAGGATCCTTGCTGAACGGTGAGTTCTTGCCCCATAGGAATGCATTAAACACACCCGTGTCCAACTTTTTTCCAGAAATGCAAGGAAGGTGGTATAGAATGTTCTGACAACAATGTGCAGAGATGCATTCTGTGCTGTTGCCTGATGCATTCAAAGGGCATAAAAGCAGTAATGAGAAACTAAGAAAGCTGAACCAGTCTTTGTGATAGCTGCCTTTACATACATACTCATACACATTCACCGTCAATATTCTATGAGTCTTATTTGCAAGAGAGAGTAAATGAGTGACGTTCGAGGCTGAATTAATGCTTTAGAGTGGGAAATGCAAATATATATATGTATAGATGAAAAAATGCCATCCCCTCAAAACTTTGTTATTCTAGGGCTGCGGCTTCTAATCCTTTAATCTGACCAATTCAGTTAAGATGGTGCTTTAACTACGGTAAGTGACAAATAACACTGTAGGTGTACAACAAGAGTATCAAAGTCTCCCCCTCCACCAATAGTGAAGCATGCTGAAACCACCAGGGAAAACTTTGTGTAACTTGTGTAAAAGCATCCAGCCTTTTCTTCAGTTCCCTCCCCCAAATGTAGTCACTAGGTTCTGGTAGCAGGTTACTGGCCCTGGGTTGGAAAAAATGAACTAATCTTATTTTACTGTACAGGATATGAGTAATAAAAAAATAATTTTTGGAAATACTTGGCAGGTTTCAGCTTTACATTTTGGGACTCTGTGTAAACCTGTGCAGCCAGCTGTTCATTGCAGTGTTCTTTCAATCACTAGGAGGTGTTGATTTTAAAGGAATGAGTTGGTGTTCCTTAAGGTACACATTGCTTGTGTTTCATAGCAGGCCTGTAGACTACTTGCATGACTTGGTAACCTTAGTATCTCTGCTTAGAGGGGCAACCCCTGTTTGAAGAACATTGATCAGAATTAATTTAACTGTATGCCAGATTGAATGCAAATTGCATCAAAGTAAGAAGCCTGTAGCAAGCAAGCAAAGAAACAAAAGCTCCATGCCTTTGCATAGCAAAGACTGCTTGATCCTCCCGTCTCACATTTATTATTGGAATAGATCCAACCTCGGCTTTAATGAGTGGCAGATTCCCTACCTCTACTAAGGTTTATCTCTCCCTAGAGAGAACTAATGGATTGATAGGTTTTTAAAATCTGTTTTACTAAATAGCCATATGTAAAAGGCATATTTTATAGGACAAAAGCCAAGAAATAACTTTAAAAGTCTTTTTCAGAATTTAATGCTAGCAGCAATGAATAACGGAAATATAAGTGATGAAGAGGTGAGAGATTTGCTTTACACAATAACAGCCATTCTATTTCATTATATTATATCTTACTCTGAATACAGGAAAATGTTTAAAAAATTCCATTTTTTGTTTCAGAACTATTACAGGGATATAGTGTAAAATAGTTTATCATCTTCATGCAATTTAACAAATATTTGCTGCACATGTGGTACTGTATAATATACTGGTGTCTGTATATCTCTCAGTGTGTATGTGTGTGTTGCCACATAATATTTTCTTTAAACTCTCCCCAACCACTCAAAATCAGTATCATTGTCCCCTGGGAAGCATTAAAAACTACAGTAAGTTTTACATTTGCATATTGTTGAAAAGGTTTTATTTAATATAGTGTTACTAGCCATTAGGGAACTTTTTAATGTGAAAGCTGCAAGTTTAAAAGTTACTGTAGTTCAGTACAGTAGCAGTATTTCACATCAAACTAGTGACCTGTTTTAAAATGAAGTTATTTATAGATTCTGCATCACACAGAGTTATTTATTGCTGCAGATGCTGAGATGTAGAGTCAGGATGACATTTTACTTAGCATTTTTGTATTGCATCTACTTATTCCTCTCTATTTTACATGCCTTGTGGTTTCAGAAACAAAGTTGCAACCTGTAGTCTTGTTCAATCCTATGGTTGCTGGAAATGTACGAATAGATAAGCAGGCAGAAAAATGGAAGTTGATACTAAATGTTAAACTGGGTAATCTTTGCGACGCTAGCTGGGAAAGAAATTTGACCTTTTTTTATAGTGATGCCTCATGAAAACGTTTCCTAGACATTTGAAGATTTTATGTATGTACATCAGTGTACATTCATGACATTTCACTTAATTTCTTCTGCTCATGAATTATTGATAGTTTTTCCTATTGGAAAATGCAATTTCTGTTGTGCTTGTGAATATTAGTTGTGTTCAATAAAAGACAACTGCGTACAATATTTACCTTACAGGTTGTTCAATATAGGTACTTAATGTAGATTAATACCAATGTACCATTCTGTATATTTAGTATTATCTATCCAATTACCATTTAGTAGTACTGTCAGATGTTCAGAGAACTTCACATGCTTATTAGAGAACAGTGTGTGTGTGTCCTTTTTTAGAATACAGTTCCCAGAAATAGGTGCTATCTCAGGCCTGCTTATTCCTCTCTTTTTCCATTCTCCTTCTACTGTGGGTCGAGCTCTGCAGTGGAAAGGGCATTTGGGTGTGATCATGTCAACCGCCTGAATCAACTGAGTATACCAGTTGGTGATCTGGGCTTCCACAGGAGCACCCACCAGATCAACTGGAAAACCTCCTACAATATCATGGAAACCAGCTGGATCCAGTACCTTTCGAGAGGTGGACCATTCTAATAGACACAGCTACCCATGGAGAGGGGCCCCCCACAAGTGTAGATCCAAACGTCAGCAGAGAGTTGTCTGATCATGACATAGCAGAATACAACAGATCTTTCACCCTCAGACAATAATCTCCCTGACCAGAGGTCAAGTTTATGTTCTGCCACATATGTAGGACCACTTATACATCTCATAACTATACCATATAACAACTGTGGCTCACTGTATTAGCATATGCTTGACTTGTCATCATTCTGGTAGTGCCTGGATTGTTACAGTAGTTACCTTCTATTACACTTGACTCTATCAAAGGCATAACTGAGACAGTGGGCCCATCAATATACAGATGATACAGAATGTGGTGATTGTAGTATGTTGTTGGAATTACACATGGAATTTGAGTTTGGCAGATTTCAGAGGCATACCAGCAATATGTTTAGTTGATTTATTTTTAGAACTACACGTACACATACATATACACACACATCATAGAAGAGAGAAAATCAAGAGATTGCTACTGGCTATGAAATCTTAAATAGAATAATTGAATTAACACTAGTTTTTAATGGCAAATCAATAATTTAAAACATTTAGAAAAAACGGGTTGTCTAAATCTTCTAGTATTAATGAGCTGTTTCAGTCTTTCCATTTCTATATTTCACATTTCTTTCAAGAATTCTGTATACAGATTTAATCACCTATTTGTTTTTCTTCTATTCCATAGGTCCAAGTGGTCTAATGTGGCAGTGAATGAATGTATATTTGAGCTTCCAAATCTGACAATTCAAGCAACAAGAGCCCAAACATTTTTAGTACAAAGTGTATGGCAGAGTTGGGCTTATACTGGAAATGTTAATTCACCAGTTGTGAATGAAGCTTTAGTGAATGAAGTCTTCCACCCTTCAGGTACATGTACATTGTTCTGATCTATACTGATCTATACTGCAGATTATTGGTCTACCTGAGTATAGTGCTGCTTTATTTTAACTAGTGATTACATGTCTTCTTTTTTCCTCCTGAAAAATGCTAATATACATACATAAACATGTGGAGGAATTCAGTTGGTTCTGTATTAGATACACTGACATTTCTAGATGTACTAACAGAAATACATGCAACTCAGCTAGCACATTATTTTCCTTAGCTAGCAGTGTGTTGGATTTAGTCCATCGCATTTTGCCTTGGAAATTCAGTTTGGCATGTTTAAAGAGCCATGTCCACAAGAATAAATGATGATCCCTAGTACAGCCATTCTGTTAAAATGCCACTTGTATCTAACAGCTCAATCACATGTGAGAAAAGAACCCCAGTTACAGTGATACCTCGACTTGAGAACGTCCCTACATAAGAACGATTCAAGTTAAGAACAGCTCCATTCGCAAAAAGTTGCTTTGACTTGAGAATAAAGCTTCGATTTCAGAACCAAAAAAGAAAAAAAAATCCTTTCCCGAGAATAAAGCCTCGATTTAAGAACCAAAAAAGAAAAAAAAATCCTTTCCTGCCCTTTTTTTTACCTAAGTTCACCTTAGGTCAAAAGAAGAAAAAATAAAAAAAAAATTCACCCCCTATACGGATTAACTGGCTTTGCATTAGTTCCTATGGGAACTAATGCTTCAACAAAAGAACAACGCATCGACTTAAGAACGAAAAACAGCAGATATGGATTAAATGGTATTCAATGCATTCCTATGAGAAATGGTGCTTTGACTTAAGTACGTTTCAACTTAAGAATGAAGTCTCAATACGGATTACGTTCTTTAGTCGAGGTACCACTGTATACTGATAAGATAAAAACTTTATTATGGTCAAAAGACCAGCCACAAATAAAACATCAAAAATATATAAATACACAGAGATATGCAAAAATTTTGGGATCGAATGCAAACCATTATATACTGATTCTTTTAATCCCCCTGTTGTACCAATATATATGTATTTTAGCAATCATATGGTATATGTATTGGTGGGAGCATTGGCATGGTTTTGAACTCCATTGCTACATTGCTTTCCACATATCTCTCAGTTCCTGGCTTTACATATATATGTGTGTGTGTGTGTCTGTATGTATGTATAT